TTGTCCAATGACCCCAAGCTATCCATCCTTATCACTCGCGCGTAATTATATTGCTGTCGCGACTGTGGGACGGGCGCCCGCAGTGAGTTTGCGAGCGTGACAGTAACATAATTACGCGCGATCGATAAGGATGTGTAGCTTGGGGTCATTGGACAAAATTCTACGTGCTCCCGGACCAGACTATAGGCGATCAGCATATACACATTGCATCGATCACCTTAAAAACATTTTCTTTTGCCATGTAATATTGAATGAAGTTTACATATTCAAACATGTTCTAGGGAGGCGCGTGAAGAGCTAAGTAAACGCATAGCCGCGGGCGAGGAGCCGGCGTCGGAGGTGTACTCGTACAAGGCGGAGCCGCGCCTCACGGTGCCGCTGCCCGAGGCCACGCCCGAGGCCTTCAGCATGGTGCTCAACTACATCTACACCGACCGGATTGACCCCACCGAGAAGGGTAGGTCGTTGTCGTTATGTCAAACATGTCCTAGGGAGACGCGTGAAGAGTTAAAGTCCGGTCGCCGAGCACATAGAATTTCGTCCAATGACCCCAAGCTACCCATCCTTGTCGCTCGCGCGTAATTATATTGCCATCGCACTCGCACACTCACTGCGGCCGCCCGTCGCACAGTCGCGCCTTTAGGGCGTGTGTTAACGAGCCGGTTTCTATCTGACGCCGCACATGCATAATATGTTGACGAGTCTCGGCCTTAGAAAACATAGAATAGTTAATTCTCGATGTTTCAATCTTTCTGTGTCAAACCAAAAATCACGCTGGTTAAGTCGCGAGTCAAATCTAAAATCAAAGTCATAATTACACCAATGTCTCCACAGACGAAGACCCTGCATCGCCAGCCACCATCTTACTAGTGATGGAGGTGCTCCGCCTAGCCATAAAGCTGAGCATCCCGCGGTTACGAGGGCTGTGCGCGCGGTTCCTGCGAGCCAACCTGTGCTACAGCAACGTGCTGCCGGCGCTGCACGCGGCGCACCACGCTCAGCTGAGCTGCATCAAGGAGTACTGCCTGAGGTGGGTAGATGGAGAAACAAAAAAGATCGCAGTCATCGACACAGATTCCGGCAGTGATTTTCATCTTGTGCCCTCTGCCGTAGCCCATCTAAAGTCTGGTCGCTGAGCACGTAGAATTTTGTCCAATGACCCCAAGCTACCCATCCTTATCGCTCGCGCGTAATTGTATTGCTGTCGCGCTCGCACACTCACTTCTGCCGCCTGTCGCACAGTCGCGTGCGACAGCAATATAATTACGCGCGAGTGATAAGGATGGGTAGCTTGGGGTCATTGGACAAAATTCTACGTGCTCAACGACCAGACTATAGCTGCTGCAACCACGAAGACCAGTCCAGCGCTGCCCGCATTCAAGTGCTTCCCACAATAAAGGTAATGAAGCGCGAAGGTGATTGTTATTGATGGGTGTACAGCTTTTGAACCAGGGGCCGTCTGGCAAAGGTGTGGTGATTTTTTTAAGCAGAGTCATTGACACTGAGAACGTAGGTAGGTATGTAAAGCGGAGAGGGGATCAGTCCTCCCAACAATATTTCCCCCAAATATTAGTGATGTCATTAGTCTATCGATAAGTTTTTGTAACACCCTTTATGTTGTGTTACATAAAAAGTATATCTGAAGTAACTGCTACATCCATTCATTCTGAACGCAGGTTCGTGGTGAAAGACTACAACTTCACTCCGATCGTGATGTCTGCGGAGTTCGAGCAGATGGACCAGAGCCTCATGGTGGAGCTCATCCGGCGCCGCCAGCAGCCCAGCAAGCAGCCGCCTGCGCCCTACAACGACTACGAAGAAGAGATCAATGGTACGTTGTTTTACCATGAACTAGTGGACCGACGATCTAAAATCCACGCTCGCACACTCACCGCACAGTGAATGCGAGCGCGACAGCAATATAATTACGCGCGAGCGATAAAGATGGATAGCTCGGGGTCATTTGTGCGCAATTCTATCTGCTCGACGACCGAACTTTAGTAAAGGCCGCGGGAAGCGCCCGGATATAGGCAGTGCTAGTCTGCCTTTGTCTAGCAGTGGATGTCATTTGGTTGATAGGAGCAAAAAATATTAGATAAAATGAGATATTGATAAGCAACAATAACCCCTAACGATCTTACTGTCGCACTATTAAAGCTGACTAGTAATCTCTTAAAATAAGAGATAATGTCAATCTGGAAAAGGGATATGGTACTTATTTTACAACTCCGTCAGCGCATCCCATCCATTTCCTCAGTCTATACCGACAACTATTGCGCAGTACCTTTGTCCAAAAACTGGACGGAACCTACCTTCCTTTACTTATAAAGTCAAACTACTTACTTCTTGGTTCTTGGTGTCTGACCTATTTGTTTATTTACAGGCACAACACTAGAACAGGACATGAGTGTATTCGCGAGCGGCGGCGCAGGCGGCTTAGAGCTGAGTGACGTGAAGCTACGAGTAGGGTCTGCGAGTAGACCGGCCCACCGCTCGGTCCTAGCCGCGAGAGCTGCGTACTTTGAAGCTATGTTCAGATCATTTTCGCCGCAAGATAACATTGTCAATGTAAGTTATATTACTGTACTTTTTCCTAGTGACTTGAAATTGTGGGTGGGGCCAGACGTAGCCCCGCCCACTGCTCGGTGCTAGCCGGTAGGGCTGCGTACTTTGAAGCTATGTTCAGATCATTTTCGCCGCAAGATAATATTGTCAATGTAAGTTATTACTGTACTTTTTCCTAGTGACTTGAAATTGTGGGTGGGGCCAGAAGTAGCCCCGCCCACTGCTCGGTGCTAGCCGCTAGGGCTGCTTACTTCGAGGCTATGTTCCGATCATTTTCGCCGCAAGAGAATATTGTCAACCTAAGTGATATTACTGTACTTTTTCTTGTTAAACATTGTTGAAAAATTTAATGTTTTGAAGTTATGGGTCGGGCCAGACGTAACCCCGCCCATTGGACTATACTGGACAATAGGGCTGCCAACTTGGGAAACAGAAACGTATTGAGAATTAATTTGCAATCATTCTGCAACATGACTGTTAAAAACCGGAAATTGACAAGCAATTGCTGTAAGAACAACCCTAGAACAGGTTACTAAATATCATCATTTGAAAATATTACTTCATCATTATTTGTCCTTCTCAGATTCAAATCTGCGACACTGTCCCGTCAGAGGAGGCCTTTGATTCTTTGCTCCGGTACATCTACTATGGCGACACCAACATGCCTACAGAGGACTCCCTGTATCTGTTCCAAGCGCCAATATATTACGGTCAGTATTTACTTTTGGTATGTATATACAGTCGTGGTCAACTAATTAGGGACAGATAGAATACTAAGCAATACTAAGTGTTCATATCCTATTATTGTGAGCTTCATTCGATATTACTGACTGTTACTTTGTAAAGTGCCCCATAAGGGCTACCTTTTTCTTTTTTTTATTATTTTCTATTGACGTTCATAAGTGCCACTTGTGGTCTAAACTGAATAAATATTTTTGATTTTGATTTTTTTTTTATTTAAACATATTGACTATCAAGTACTCTATTTATAGAATTCAATAACAACAAAAAAAACTTACTAA